CTCTCCCTCTGTGCATCTTTCCTGTGCTTCTCTACAGCTCCCACCCACGCAATTGCCTGCCTGCCCTCCTACTCGATCTCCCCAACCTCACGAGCAGTCCCTCTCTCTGTGTGTGGCTCTTTGCGTGGTTCACTTTAACTCCGCCACACCTCCCTGCTTGCTTCCTCTTCCCCTCCTCGCCAGCCTGTAAACCCCCCTGTGCCTTTTCATGGTTCTTTCTCTCTTTCGTCCCCACTCCCTTTTCCCACCCGTTACCTCACTGTTTTCGTTTCCCTTCTCTCTTCCCTTCGTTTCTCTTCTCCCTCCCCTCCACACACCCTCTCTCTTCGCACAAAGCCCTCTGCCCAAACCCAAACCCCAAACCTGCCTCAACCACTCCCGCCAAGCTCGCACCCACCCAAAACTTCCCCTGTCCCTCTCCCTTTACCTTCTCTTCCACTTCTCTCTTTCCGCTCTCCTTCCTCTCTTCTCTCCCCGCAGAGCTCTGGGACAAACCACGTCACAGAAACCATAATCAAACTGCCCAACCACTCCCTCCTATCTCGCACTCACCCAACACTCCTCGTTTCCCTCTCTCTCTTCTGTTCTTTCCCTTCCACCCCCCCCCCCCCACGCTCCCCCCTCCTTGTCTCTGTCGCTCCCCCACACAGAGCCCTTGGCTGTAACTACCTCACAGGCTCCATTCCTGCACCCACCTCAACCACTCTCGCCAAGCTCGCACTCACCCAAAACTTCCTCTCTGGCTCAGTGCCATCGCTACCCTGCAACTTCTGCGATGCCACGAAGAATTGCCTCTCAGATACATCCTCCTGCAGTTCATCAGGCACGACACAAAGGAGTGCGGGGTGTACGTTTTGTGGGCTGGTTAGCGGGTCGGGGACATTATGTGGGGGTACGAAAGTGTGTGCACCCAATGCAAGTGCCCCTCTAGCACAGGAAACCCCTAACACTGCTAGCTCACCTATGCTTGCCTTGACTTGTGTGTAAATTATGCGGTTTTCTCTTGTGTTCAAGTTTGTGCGAAATTCATATGGTTTCTTTGAGCTGTCCTGGCTATTTGTCGATTCATTCACCATAAACTTGTTAGGGGCAATCCCAACAAAACCTGCTTGCTTGCAGTTGATCCTATTGATCCTGCTGGAAGTTTGAACCCTCGTGAATCTTTCAACAACAAAGCACTACTATGGGTGTGTCACGACGACCAATCGCCCAGTCAAATGGCAGGATTCGTTTTCACACCCTTACCTTTTGTGATCCTTGTCCGTGTCCTATATTTGATAGCGTGCAAGTGGTGAGGTTTAGTATGATCTTCCATCACATTGTAATTACTGCTTTCTGCGGTTGTTTATGCATCAACTACAGAAATATTCGTTCTGATATAAGTAATTCCAGCGATTGAGAATAACGGGGATAGGAAGAGAAGGGAGGGCTTCCTTTGTTTTACACCTGTTTCCCGTCATTTTTTCTTCCTGAAAGCACTCCTAACCTTTTAGTTTTCTGGGTTGATCAATCAACACCATGCCAGTGTCAATGTGTCGATGTCGTAAATTTTCGTGGGTTGTGATCACGGGGAATCGGGTTTCGTTGCGACCATTTTTCGTTCCCTCGTGATTGTACAAGAAGTTTGGAAACCTACACTCACTAAACTTGAAAATGACCCCAGTACTAGTTGCCCAGTAGACTATGTGTTGATATTGTCTTTTAGCGGAAAATGGTCCAGACGAATGCACACTGTAAGAGTGCGTCTCGGGAGACTTGTTACAGTACGCTTTTGGCAAGATGGCATCATGCGTATTGGGAGGGAGTGTTGGCCTACGTGTACAGTACCGAACTCGGACAAAGCTCGAGTGATGAGACGCATCTCACAGGACCGCAGTCTGGTGTCACTCTTCCGTGTCAACTGTCCCGGAGGATGCGTTGTGAATGTGTTCAACAACAAGCAGACACGCTGCCGTGGCAGTGGAGGTCTTCTCTTCTAGTGATTCGTAAGGGCGTGTCCCATGAGTTCATTTGGAAAGAAAATCATTATTTACGTAACTTCGACAAAGCAAAAGAGTGTACACTCTGACGTGAAAAACACGCAGCGCGTCAGCACAGCGCCAAACGAAATTGATGCACGCGGACTCATAGCCCCACCCACACAAAAATCGTCATCCGAACATGGGCCGCGAGCGGTAGCCCGCCACAGTGCGAATCAATTGTGCCCCTTGCGAATATTGGTTTTTTTTTTTCGCGCGACTGAATGTGCGCGAAGTCTCCGATTGGGGTAACGGAATGGCGGACCCGGTACGAAGTGATCTCACGTACCTTGTACGTGGGGTAGTACGAACCTCTTGACGTCCTAGGCGTGTTATCAGGTGCGTCATTGAAAACGCATGTCATGCAGGGAAGGGTTACAGACAGAAAACAGGGTTACAATCCTTAACTCGAACTGTGAACGAACTCGTGGGACGAGCCCTCAATGGAAGCCCAGGCAACGTGCTGGCGATAGATACCGGACGCGACGACGATAGATACCGGACGCGACGGCGATATACGGGACCTGACGGTGGTAAATACCGGGCGCGACGGCGATAGATACGGGACGTTGCGGTGGTAAATACCGGGCGCAACGGCGATAGACAGCATGTCGGAGGGTTACTCCGATCGGTGTATCCAACGGCTGGTGACGACGCTCTTCCAGAAATCGGCGTAGGACGACAGTTCATACCGACCCAGACGCGCCGTAGCCGCGCGACGCAGACGCAGACGTAGACGTTACGTAGACGTAAACGTAGACGCAGGCAGACACGCAGCTGCAACCTCTAACGCAGCGGAGTCGCCTCCGACACGCCGACATGCGAGAACGCACCGCATCTGCCATAGCCGGCGTGTCCACGTCATCGTCATCCGCGGTCGCGATCTCTTCCGCGTTCCTTCTCATCACGGCGTGTATACCGCGCCCCGTGGCTTCAGTTACTATGACGACCAACGATAGTGAGCTCGCATTCCATGTGTAAGCCGAACGTAGGCTCAGAGTGACCGTTGAGTCATCTTCGGCGCCTTTTAAACTTGAGTACGCGTTCCATGTGTGAGTCGAACTGGATTGACTGTTGCCGAACGGTTTTCGCCGGTCTTCCCCCCGCTGGATTTGTATATTCTCGTTTGCAATATCGTCTGATTTTTTTTGTGTGTCGAGAATAGTAATATCCTCATTCGATATGATGCCGCTTTCATGCGCCGGGCATCGTTGGATTTCGAGACCTCCACCCATGAGGAAAATCACTGCTTCATAGTAGTTACATCAGTCTGGAGCATTCGCGTTAGTAACTTCTTCTGAAACGTTTCAACAGTCGAGTAGTTATATTACTTCCAAACCGTCTCTATTAGCTTGTACGCTGCTGCGTGTCGTCTTGCGTGCCGTCCTCTTTCCCGCCGTCGGATGCGTTTCTTAACCAACCGAAGAGCCAAACCGGTTACGGAAGTTTCGTGTGCCGAACTTCTCCCTCAAGCGAATTTTGAGAATTCTCAAAGATCACGACGGTCGTCTCGTGCCATCGTCCTTCGTCTCGAATCGACTCGACTCGAGATGATATTTTCGTATCGCCGGACTCCCTTGGTTTTCCCACTTACATGATGCTTTGAGTCCCCTAGGAAGTTCCTGGCCTCCTAACATGTCATGTATTCCCATCACCCAGCATTCCCGTACCCTCACGCTCTCATCAGTTCCCTCTCCTTAGCCGACGCTCACGCCCCCACCACTGTACGCGTTACGCACTGTTCCCGTTTCTCTCTACAGAAGACGCACTGCTCGCAATAAAGCCGGCTCTGGGCGTGACGCTAACGTCCTGGCAGGCGTCGTCTAGTTGCGGGCCGCTCGGGTTCGTGCAGCAGGCCAATGAGTTTGGTGCCGTGTCGTGCGATGGGTCCGGAAACGTCGTTTGGATGTGAGTGTAACGGGGGGTTGAAATCGCAGCAGTTGATGCTAACTCAATCAATCAATCACGATCGCGCGTCTCAGACTATTTTAACATCGGATGTTTGATGCTGCTGTTGCTGCCTCCTTCCCTTCCCACCTCGGCAATTTCAAGGGTTAACCATAATAATCAATAAGCTCCACTAGAGGGCTTCCCTCAATCTGAACCCCCTCGCAAAAATATCATTTTCATTGACAAATACACTATTTTCTGATTACATTTGAAATAGATTCGACTCAAGTACACACCTCCCCCCGTCTCCCACCCCCCTTTTCCCTTCTCGTTCTTCCTGCATCTCCTGGCCCTCCTTCCAGGAACTTTCACATGCAGTCGCTCAAGGGAAGCATGCCAACTGACATCAGCAAGCTCTCCGCTCTCACCTTCCTGTGAGCCGCCCCTTCCTTTCCTCCCCTCCATCCCGCCTTCCCCCTTTTCCCGCCTTCCCCCATTTCCCGCCTCCCCCCATTCCCGCCTCCCCCCCTTTCTCTCCTCTTAACTCCTGGACTCGAAAACCGGATGACAAGAGCCTTCATGTGAAGCTTCTCTCACTGCTTATTGCTCATCGCTCAACACTGCTCACTGCTCACTGCTCACTGCTCACCGCTCACCGCTTGCCTTCATGTGAGCCGACCGTTCTACTCTCCCTTACCCTCACCCCTCCATTAGCTTCAGATTTCCATTCTCTTCCTACCTCACTCTCCTCCTTTCCCTTCTTCCACCCACCCACCCACCCACCCACCCACACACACACACACACACCCCAATCCGCGCGCACTTTTCATTTCCTTGTACCTCCCAATGCTCTTCCCCCAACCATCTTCACGCAAAGCCATCGCTGGCAGGCACAACCCCTGCCTTTCACGCACTTGCTTGGCATTTCCCAGAAACACAGCAATCTCTGCTACAACCTGCTGCGCGCCCCTCCGCCCTCCCCCCCCCGCGTTCAGCATCTCTGCTACAACCTGCTGCACGGCACGGCAGCTTCTGACGCATCTCAAACTCCCTCCGCCTCTCCCACCCTTCCTTCTCCCCCCCTCCCCACAGCAATCTCTGCTACAACCTGCTGCACGGCAGCTTCACGCCTTGGACCGCCACACTGGTGCAAATGCCTCAACTCATAGATTTGTGAGTCCTGTTTTCGCCAGCATAATGGCCAGGCCAGCACAACCTTTCTCTCGCCAGCAGCACAAGCTTTCCCCGTGCTCTCGCTCTCCAGCTCCTGTGCTCTCACTCCCCCCTTCCCTCTCCGTGCATGTGGCGTGTGGTGTGTGGTGTGTGGTGTGTGGCGTGTGGGGATCCCCCTCCCGTGCTCTCACTCCCCCTTTCCCTCCCCTTTGTGGGGATGCCTCGCTGTGCGAGTGGCATGTCCAACCTCTCTGTGCACCCGAGTGCATACCACCATCCGGTTCCACAGCACCATCGTAACCACCCTTGAGGGTCGTTCCCAACCCCAAAGTTCGTCTCATGTCAAACTCAGGGTCCCACCCGCCCCTCTGTGCGCCTTTCTATGCGCCCCTCTGTGCTCCCTTCTGTGCAACCTTTTTTCTCTCCGCCCCTCTGTGCCCTCCTTCTCTCTGCGCCCCTCTCTGCAGGCGATCAGGTGCTAACCAGGCTACACCAACTGGCTGGCACCATGCCAACATCAATCGACTTGCCTCTCTGTGTTGTGTACCTCAAGAGCCCTACCCCCACCCTCCCCCCCCCCCCCCCCCCCCCCCCATTTCTCTCCGCGCCCCTCTCTCTCTCTCCGCGCCCCTCTCTCTCTCTGCGCCCCTCCCCCTCTCTCTCTGCGCCCCTCCCCCTCTCTCTCTGCCCCCCTCTCTCTCTGCCCCCCTCTCTCTATGCGCCCCCTCTCTCTGCGCCCCTTGCTCTCTCTGCAGGCGGATTTGTGCCAACTGGTTCTACGGCACTGTCAACATCCAGTTGTGAGGCGCCTAGAAAATAAACTCCTCTGTGCGCCCCTCTCTGCGCCTCGCAGGCGGATTTGTGCCAACTGGTTCTACGGCACTGTCCCAACATCCGTCATCAACCTCACACGCCTAACATTCCTGTAGGTGCTTCTATAGTCCACTCAAAGATCGTCTCACACGCCCAACATACCGGTACGGTGCGTGCTTGAGACGTTGTAAGGGGGCGTGCTGAACGTGCCTTCATGCGGCCCTCTGTGCGTGCCTTCATGCATACCCACCTGTACTGTACGCGCCTCGACACGTGTCGAAGCCACACCCCCACACGCTTGATGTACAAAGGTCGCCGCCGCCTCTTGCAGAGAATGAGAAGGACTCGAACTGCAGCAAGATTTGGTAACTCGAAAGCACACTCTCACATGCGCAATGTACCTGTACCATCCCCCCTGTGTGTGCGTTCACCTGCCATCGCATGGGTCCCCTTCTCCCCCTCCCTCTCACCCCCGCCCTTGCTCCCTTAATCCCTTCCACCCCTCTGCACCCCTTCTTCTCTTCTTCTCTTCTCCTTCCTCTCCCTCGTCCTTGCTTCCACTCTCCCATTTCTCCCACCGTTCCTCCCCCTCCTCCTTCCTTCACCCCGCTTCCCTCTCCCCTTTTTTTCTCCTCTTCCTCCCCGTTTCCCTACGTCCCCCCCATTTCCCCTCCCCCACCTCTTCACTGCAATTCATCTGCGCCAGACTCAATCCACTTTTGAGAGACGTTTAAAAAAAACCAATCTCCCCACTACTCTCCCCCTTTCTCTGCCCATCCTCCCACCACTCCCCTCTCCCTCCTCCCCTCCCCCCCTTTCTCCCCCCTTTCCCTCTTCCCCCCTCCAGAACCATATTCTCCAACTACCTCGTGGGCACGATCCCCCCACTCCCCCCTTCGCTCGTAAACTTTTACGTGGATAAAAACTTCTTCATCGCCCGTTCCCCCTCCGGCGTCTCACCCGCCGTCTGCCACACCAACTGCTTCACCAGCAGCCCCCCTGCCGCCTGCCCCCTCTCCACCCAACGGCCCGCTGCCCAGTGCGTGTTTTGCGGCGGGGCGGCGGGGGCGACGGGCATGTGCGGGGGGCTTCTGGAGGGATGCACGGTGGACCCGACCGGGCTGACCGCGCCGAATGGGGGCTCTGCTGCGCTGCTGCCGCAGTTCTGCGAGGCTGTCTACATTCTCCCCGCGCAGGGTGAGTGAGTTAGTGACTGTGATTTATGGGGTGACTTTTGAGTCGAATCAAGAGTCACCTCGTTACAATGGCGCCAAATGAGGCCACTGCCGCGCTGCTGCCGCAGTTCTGCGAGGCTGCCTATATTCTCCCGGCGCAGGGTGAGTGAGCGAGCGAGCGAGCCTGACTGACCGTGTGATTTAGGGGCGGCGGGGGGATGGTGCGGGGGGGACAGGGTTTGCGCTGGAGCCACTTTTGAGTCGACTCAAAAGCCGGTTGCACTGGAGCCATGGGCATGTGTGGGGAGGAAGAGGAAGGGGGGGGGGAGGATTGTGGATGAAAGGGTGCGGTGCTCGCCGGACATGACTGGGGGCGAGCACCACTCCCTCAAAAGAGGCGCCTCAGAACTTGCTTAGAATTCAGAGCAAGCCTTTCATTTCATCTCACACCTTTTCGTCACATCCCACCTCCTCCTGTCCCACCTCCCATGCAGTGTCCGTCCTGATGGCGCTCAAGTCGTCGCTGGGAGTGACGGACAGCACGTGGGTGGGCACAGGGGAGTGTACGGGGGCGAAAGCCTCCCAGGCGACGCCCTACTGGGCTGGGGTCAGATGCTCCGGCAATGGTGCAGTCACAAGCATGTGAGTGGGCTGTAGCAAGCAAGCACGTGAGTAGCAAACATGCTCAGAAGCTCTGCACACGCAGAGACTTTTAGAATGACTTAAAAGGCCACTTTGGTCCTCCTGACTCATAGTCGACGGGCTGCAGTACGTGATGGGGACGCATGTGATGGGCGCATGTGATGGGCGCATGTGATGGGCGCATGTGTACAAGTCGTTGGAGGAGAGATTGCTGAGAATAGCTCACTTCGTGACTTATAGTCGACGGGCTGCAGTGACAGACGTGATGGGGACGCTTTAGCAAAAGGATCAACAGCAAAAAGCAAAAAACTTGTGAAATTCGTAGATCTGTAAAACCCCTTTGTCTCCGAAGAAGACTTTTAGAATGTTTTAAAAGACCACTCCGGTCTTCTCCATTCCTCTCCTCCATATCTCCCATCCCTTCTTAGAAATCGTTTTCTGTGTTGTTCGCTTCCCGAGCCCCCCTCCTCAACTCCCCTACCCCTTCCCCCGTCTTGCCAACAGCACTCTGCTGCGAATGCAAGGCACCTCTGTTTCGCTGCCCTCCTCCACCTTCACCCTGCTTTGCTGTGTCCCCCCACCCAACCCCACACCCCCCTTCCCCCCCCCCTTCCCTCTTTCCACCCCTCAACAGCGCTCTGCGCATGCAAGGCGCCTCTGGGTCACTTCACTCCTCCGTCTCATCGCTCTCAGCGCTCACCTCCCTGTACGTACGGCCCTGCCTCCCGGTCTCTTCTTGACACGTCTCAAAAGGCCCTCCTCTATCCGTCTCATCGCTCTATCCATCCATCCATCCATCCATCCATCCATCCATCCATCCATCCATCCATCCATCCATCCATCCATCCATCCATCCATCCATCCATCCATCCATCCATCCATCCATCCATCCATCCATCCATCCATCCATCCATCCATCCATCCATCCATCCTCTGAGCAGCTGGACTGTTTTCTCTCATTGAGACGCTCTAATCTCTTCAACCAGCAACGCCATCTCTTTGGGACGCCTCTCACATCCCCATCCCACCTTCCTTCCCTCCACTCTTCCTTTCCCCACCACACTTCCTTTCCCCACCACACAAGCAGCGACCTGAGCTCCAACCTCTTCAACCAGCAGCTGGACGGCTTTCTCTCTTTTAGACGCCTCTCTGATATTGCTCCCCCTCTCACCGCTCCCCCCCAACAAGCAGTGACCTGAGCTCCAATCTTTTCAACCAGCAGCTGGACGGCTTTCTGTCCGACGTGTACTCGCTCACTCAACTCAAGCAGCTGTACGTCCCATTTCTTACAAGTTGCTAGTAGAAAGTTTTTTAGACTGTCTGTCTCTCTCACCGACGTGTTCTCTCTTGCTCAACTCAATCAGCTGTACGTCTCATCTCTTAAAAGTTGACATCTGTACCCTTGGGGATTCTTAAAGGGTTCCACCCAACTTCGTCTTGCTCACTCTGCTCAAGCATCTGTACGCCTCATCTCGTAAAGCAGGCATTTGTCATGTGCAGCATCTTACTCACCCCGAACCGGTCCCCTCATGTTCGCTCGCCCTTCTCCCTGTCCCCTGCATGCAGGCTTCTAGGTTACAACTGGTTCTATGGTTCAGTCCCCACCACCATCTCCCAGCTCTCCAAATTAACCGGCCTGTGAGTCATGTCACGTCACGCACGCTATCCCGCTTCTCAATGCCTCCTTCCCTCCAACTTACCTCAAGAAGCACCGCAGTGACCTCGGCTCCTTCTCACCCCTCACCTTTCCTCCTCAATTGTTCCCCACCACTCTCCACCACCCTCCACCAGGTCCCTCTTCTCCAACTACCTCACCGGCTCGCTCCCCTCACTCCCCTCCTCCCTCCTTGCCCTCGACATAGCCTACAACTTCCTCTCCGGTTCCCTCCCCACCCTCCCCTCCACCCTCTCCCACTGCGCCGCCGAACACAACTGCCTCGTCCCTGCCGCTGCTGCTCCCTGCGCTCGCTTCGGCTCCACCCAACGCCCTGCCGCAGTGGCGGGGGCAGCAGCAGCGACGGCGACAGAGCGGTGTGCGGTGTGCGGGATGGGGACGGCGACGGAAGCAAGCGTTTGCTTTGATGGGGAGTGTGTTGTGTCTGTGGCCCCAGCTGTGGTTCTGGCGGGGCCCAACGGACCGGTTCAAGCCGTGCAGGATCTCCAGTGCACAGGTGGGTATGTTTGTGTGGGAGAAGGAGAGAGGAGCTTTGATGGGGAGTGTGTTGTGTCTGTGGCCCCGGCGCTCAGGCGGGGCCAAACGGGCCGGCTCAAGCCGTGCAGGATATGCAGTGCACAGGTGGGTATGTCTGTGTGGGAGAAGGAGAGAGGTGCTGGGACGGGCACTGCTTGGTGCCTGTGCCTCCAAATGAGGTTCAGTCGGTATCACTGGTGGTTCACGCGGGGCCAAACAGGCCGTGTCAAGCTGTGCTGGATCACAATGTTCGGGTGTTCGGGTGTGTGTGCTTTGTGTGCACCTTATCTCCTTCCCCATGCATCCACCTCATCCCCTTCCCCATGCATCCACCTCATCCCCTTCCCCATGCATCCACCTCATCCCCTTCCCCATGCATCCACCTCGTCCCCTTCCCCATGCATCCACCTCATCCCCTTCCCCATGCATCCACCTCATCCCCTTCCCCATGCATCCACCTCATCCCCTTCCCCATGCATCCACCTCATCCCCTTCCCCATGCATCCACCTCATCCCCTTCCCCATGCATCCACCTCATCCCCTTCCCCATGCATCCACCTCATCCCCTTCCCCATGCATACACCTCATCCCCTTCCCCATGCATCCACCTCATCCCCTTCCCCATGCATCCACCTCGTCCCCTTCCCCATGCATCCACCTCATCCCCTTCCCCATGCATCCACCTCATCCCCTTCCCCATGCATCCACCTCATCTCCTTCCCCATGCATCCACCTCATCCCCTTCCCCATGCATCCACCTCATCCCCTTCCCCATGCATCCACCTCATCCCCTTCCCCATGCATCCACCTCATCCCCTTCCCCATGCATCCACCTCATCCCCTTCCCCATGCATCCACCTCATCCCCTTCCCCATGCATCCACCTCATCCCCTTCCCCATGCATCCACCTCGTCCCCTTCCCCATGCATCCACCTCATCCCCTTCATCCTTTTCTCCACCCTTGCCTCATCCCCATCCTTCTACCCCGCTCCCACCCACCCACCCACATCCATTCTGCTCCATGCAGGCAGCTCACAAGCTTCGATGTCGGTTGCTACAGGTGAGAGTGAATGGACACCTGAGAGATGAAATGCCATGAGATGAAACGAGTTAGAGATGAAATGCGTGAGATGAAATGAGTTAGAGATGAACTGTGTGTGAGATGAAACGCGTTAGGGATGAAGCGTATGCGAGACAAAACGCTCTCTGTTCTGCTCTGCTCTCCTCTTCCTCCGTCCATTCCTGCTTTCCCCAACCCCTGCAATCTCTCCCTCCCACTCCCTGTTCCCCCCCCCCCTCCTCCCATTCCCAGCCACGTCATGGGGCAGTCAGCACAACAATTGGCAGTCATGGGAACATCAATTCCCTGCCTGTTCCCATTCCCTTCCCATTCCCGTGAATAAAAACTCTTCATTCCGCCCCATCCCCACCCGTTTCTATGCTCCTTCCTCCCGCTCTCATTCCCGCAGTGACTGCTCTTTTATCTCTCAAGAGCGCGTTGGGAGTGACGGCCACGGCATGGGGCAGTGGGGGGTGCAGTGTGGAGGGATACACCTCGGGCTCCGACTGGCCCGGTGTGGCGTGCGACTCCCTCGGGAACGTTGTCTCCATGTAAATTGACTATGTTGACTCGCTTGACTTGATTGGGAGTGGTAATGGTAATGGTAATTGTAGTGGTAATGGTAGTGGTAGTGGTAGTGGTAGTGGTAATGGTAATGGTAATGATAATGGTAGTGTATTGGTATTGGTATTGGTATTGGTAATGGTAGTGGTAATGGTAATGGTAATGGTAATGGTAATGGTATTGGTAGTCAGCGACTCTCAAGGGAACTGTCAGTTCACTCGCTTTACTTGGGGCCCATGTCCTATAACCCAATTCCCCGTGCCCCACGCCCCATTCCCCTTGCTGCCTTTCTCTACATGCTCAATACCCATTCCCCATGCCCCATGCCCCATGCCCCATGCCCTATGTCCCATGCCCATGTCTCATGCCCCATGTCCCATGCCCCATTTCACATGCCCCATACCCATGGGTCATGCCCATGCCCGTGCCCCATGTCCCATAACCATGCCCCATGCCGCTCATTCTCCTCAGTGACTTGACAAGTCAGAAGCTCAAGGGGTCCATGACTCCATGGCAGCGGATGGCAGCACTCTCACATCGCCCATCCTCCGTGTTGCCTTGCCTTTCACCCGGGCAATCCATGCATGCTCACTTGCATGCTCTCGTGCTCTCAACCTTCGTGCCTCTTCTGCCTGGCAGTGACTTGACGAGTCAGAAGCTCAAAGGGTCCATGGCCTCGGATGTCATCGCTCTCACATCGCTCACTCGCCTGTACGTCCCCCCGCAGCAAACCATGCCATGCCACATGCCGCGCCATCGCAGACCATGCCATGGCATGCCATCCCATGCTATCCCATACCATGTCATGTCATGCCATTCCATCCCATGCCATCCCATGCTATCCCATACCATGTCATGTCATGCCATTCCATCCCATGCCATCCCATGCTATCCCATACCATGTCATGTCATGCCATTCCATCCCATGCCATCCCTTGCTATCCCATACCATGTCATGTCATGCCATTCCATCCCATGCCATCCCATGCTATCCCATACCATGTCATGTCATGCCATTCCATCCCATTCCATCCCATGCTATCCCATACCATGTCATGTCATGCCATTCCATCCCATTCCATCCCATGCTATCCCATACCATGTCATGTCATGCCATTCCATCCCATGCCATCCCATGCCATCCCATACCATGTCATGTCATGCCATTCCATCCCATGCCATCCCATGCTATCCCATACCATGTCATGTCATGCCATTCCATCCCATGCCATCCCTTGCTATCCCATACCATGTCATGTCATGCCATTCCATCCCATGCCATCCCATGCTATCCCATACCATGTCATGTCATGCCATTCCATCCCATTCCATCCCATGCTATCCCATACCATGTCATGTCATGCCATTCCATCCCATGCTATCCCATACCATGTCATGTCATGCCATTCCATCCCATGCCATCCCATGCTATCCCATACCATGTCATGTCATGCCATGCCATCCCATGTCATCCCATGCTATCCCATACCATGTCATGTCATGCCATTCCATCCCATGCCATCCCATGCTATCCCATACCATGTCATGTCATGCCATTCCATCCCATTCCATCCCATGCTATCCCATACCATGTCATGTCGTGCCATTCCATCCCATGCCATCCCATGCTATCCCCCCATACCATGTCATGTCATGCCATGCCATCCCATGTCATCCCATGCTATCCCATACCATGTCATGTCATGCCATTCCATCCCATGCCATCCCATGCTATCCCATACCATGTCATGTCATGCCATTCCATCCCATTCCATCCCATGCTATCCCATACCATGTCATGTCATGCTATTCCATCCCATTCCATCCCATGCTATCCCATACCATGTCATGTCATGCCATTCCATCCCATGCCATCCCATGCTATCCCATACCATGTCATGTCATGCCATGCCATCCCATGTCATCCCATGCTATCCCATACCATGTCATGTCATGCCATTCCATCCCATGCCATCCCATGCTATCCCATACCATGTCATGTCATGCCATTCCATCCCATGCCATCCCATGCTATCCCATACCATGTCATGTCATGCCATTCCATCCCATGCCATCCCATGCTATCCCATACCATGTCATGTCATGCCATTCCATCCCATGCCATCCCTTGCTATCCCATACCATGTCATGTCATGCCATTCCATCCCATGCCATCCCATGCTATCCCATACCATGTCATGTCATGCCATTCCATCCCATTCCATCCCATGCTATCCCATACCATGTCATGTCATGCCATTCCATCCCATTCCATCCCATGCTATCCCATACCATGTCATGTCATGCCATTCCATCCCATGCCATCCCATGCTATCCCATACCATGTCATGTCATGCCATGCCATCCCATGTCATCCCATGCTATCCCATACCATGTCATGTCATGCCATTCCATCCCATGCCATCCCATGCTATCCCATACCATGTCATGTCATGCCATTCCATCCCATGCCATCCCATGCTATCCCATACCATGTCATGTCATGCCATTCCATCCCATTCCATCCCATGCTATCCCATACCATGTCATGTCATGCCATTCCATCCCATGCCATCCCACCACTGCTCTTGATTCGCCTCGCCTCACCTCACCTCGCCTCCCTCTGCCCACCCTAGAGACTCTCATCTACTTTTCTCCCATCCCCCTCCCCCACCGCCCACTTCCCCGGCCCCCTTTCCACCCCCTTCCCCCCAACTTTTCAAACCGTTCCACAGCAACCGCCTCATGCCTCTCCCACTTGCATTCCCCCACTCTCCCCCCCTCCCCTTCCCCCGTGCCCCTAACCATCCCCCTCGGCAGCACCTTCGACAGCAACCTATTCTGGACGCCTCTTGCCTCCTTTGTCTCCTACTTCTCCTCCCTCTCCAGCCTCGTCGTGCTGTGAGTGCCCCTCTGTGTCTCTGCTGCACGCTCGTCATGCTGTGAGTGCTCTTAGCATCTGTGCGGGTCTTTCTGGGCGGCTCAAGAGAATCACACCGCTGGTTTGTGAGAATCACTTACATTGCAACCGGCTCTGTGCCACACCACCCTCCTACCTGCTCAATCTCCCCTGCTGATCTGTAACCGCCTCCGAAGATATTTGCCTCGTCACCCCTACCCTGCCCCACCCCACCATGCAGCGACCTGCAATACAACTGGTTTTACGGTACACTGCCCGCCTACCTGCTCGACCTCCCCAACCTCACCAGCCTGTGAGTCCCTCTCGATACCTGTGTGGCCGGTTAATGTTAATTTCGAGAATTCTCATGAGCGACACCAACATGTGCTGCACGTTTCATGGTTCACTCCTGCTCCCTCACACCTCCCTGCTTGCTTCTTCTTCCCCTCCTCGCCAGTCTGTAACCCTCTCTCTGCAGTTTTGCATGGTTTTCTCATTTTCGCCCACTCCCCTTCCCCACTCCCTACCTTCTCCGCTCCTTCCCCATACCCACTCTCTACCTCACCGGTTCCCTTTCGCTTCTCTCTTCCCCTCTCCGTTTCCCCCCCACAGAGCCCTGGGAGGCAACTACCTCACGGGCACCGTACCCAAGCCCACCTCAACCACTCCCTCTGTCCCTCTCTGTTCCCTTCCCTATCCCCTTCTCTCTTTCTCATCCCCGCTCCCTCTCTCTCTCCCCACAGAGCCCTGGGAGGCAACTACCTCACAGGCACCGTACCCAAGCCCACCTCAACCACTCCCTCTGTCCCTCTCTGTTCCCTTCCCTATCCCCTTCTCTCTTTCTCATCCCCGCTCCCTCTCTCTCCCCACAGCGCCCTGGGAGGCAACTACCTCACGGGCACCGTACCCAAGCCCACTGCAACCACGCTTGCCAAGCTCACACTCACCAGCAACTTCTTCACAGGCTCGGTTCCATCGTTACCCTGTAGCTTCTGCGACGCGACTAATAACTGCCTTAAAAGTGCCACCGCATGCAGCTCATCGGGCACGACACAAAGGAGTACGGGGTGTACCTTTTGTGGGTTGACAAGCGGGACAGGTACGCTATGTGGCGGCACGAAGGTGTGTCAGCCGGACGCGAATGGGCCCCTTGCACTGGAAACCCCGAACACTGCAAGCTTGCCTCTGCTCAGCTTGACTTGTGTGTAATTTATATGTTTTTTTTGTTTTGTTTTGTATGGATTGGATCTTACTTGGTGATACTACAGAATAGATGGATGATAATTTCTGATACCAGCTTGCCTTTGGCAACCTGTAAAAGCATCATGCTTCATTTCAAACTGTACAGTAACATTGATTTCCATTGGTACAGCTACAGGAACACCCTGTATCGCGGTTTTGATAGTAGCATTCCCATCGGGTAAGCATAACAGGCGGAGCAAGAGGTGGCGGGGAGGGTGGAGGTTGAGGAGGGGGAGAGGGTGGTGGTTGGGGAGGAGATGGGGGAGGGAGAGGTGGAGGGGAGGGTGGTGGTTGTGGAGGGGAGGGGGGAGGGAGAGGAGGGGAGGGTGGTGGTTGGGGAGGGGAGGGAGGAGGAAGGGGAGGGGGATAGGGTGGTGGGGAGGGAGGAGGATAGGGAGGGGGGGAGGGTGGGGAATCGGGTGGGGAGGGAGGCGGATAGGGAGGGGGGGAGGGTGGGGAATCGGGTGGGGAGGGAGGGGAAAAGGGTGGGGAATTGGGAGGTGAGGGAGGAGGATAAGGAGGGGGGAAGGGCGGTGGGTGGGGAGGTGAGGGAGGAGGTGATTGGGTGACAGGGGACATGAAAAAGGAGGCAGAAAGAGGGGGGGAAGGGGGGGAGGGAGGCGCAGGAGTTGCTTCAGGAGGGGAGGGGGGAGGGGGAGGAGGAAGAGAGGTGGGAGGGGAGGGTGGGGGTGATGGTAGTGGGGGAGTGGACAGGGGAGGAGAGTCAGAAAGCGGAGGTGATGGGGAAAAGGGAGGTGGGGGGAAGGGAGGCGTTGTTGCTTCAGGAGGCGAGGGGGGAGAGAGAGGAGGGAGGGAGGGTGGTGTATCTGGAGCATTGGTGGGGGAAGGTAGGGGTGATAGTGATGAGGGGATGGGAGGAGGCTGAGAGAGTGAGGCAGAAAGAGGGGGTGATGGGGGGAAGGGAGGCGAGGGAAGCGGAGGAGCTGTTGCTTTGGGAGGGGAGAGGGGAGAGAGAGGAGGAGAAGGTGGGGAGGGTGGTGAGTCAGGAGTGAGGGAGGGGGGTGAGATAGGAGCGAGGGAGGGGGGTGAGATAGGAGCGAGGGAGGGGGGTGAGATAGGAGCGAGGGCGGGTGGTGCATTGGGCGTATTGGGAGGGGAGGGTGGGAGTGATAGAGATGGTGGCAGGGTAGAGGAGAGGGGAGGGGAGGCAGAGAGGGGAGGTGATGGGGGGAAGGGTGGAGCGGGAACAGGAGGAGTTGCTGCAGCTGTTGCTCCCGGAGGGGAGGGGGGAGGGGGAGGTGACGGGGGAGCCTGGGATTGAACAGGCGAAGGGGGATTGGGTGTGGCGGAGGGGAGGGAGGAGGGGGATGACGGGGGAGGTGAGAGAGGCGGAGGAGGAGAGAGGGTGAGGGAGGGTGGAGGGAAAGGAGGGGACGGAGTGGGAGGCGTTGGAGGGGTGGGGGATGGAGGAGGAGGGGGGGATGGGGAAGGTGGGGAGGGTGGGGAAGGAGGGGGGAAGGATGGGGAGGGTGGAGGAGAAGGAGGGGAGGGGGGGGGAGGTGGCTGGGGCGGTGGCGGTGGGCTTGCTGTGGGTCATGCAGAGAAACGGGCGGGAACAGGGATGATGGGGAAGCATGTGGGATGATGGGAAGAGGGGAAGATGGGACAAAGAGGGAGAGTGTTAATGCAAGGCGATGTGGGAATAAATGGCCATTAACTTTGCTTGTTGCAGGGACATAGAGCGTGTTGCATGGCTTGCGATGCAAACTCTGGGGGGGAGCTTATGCAGAATAGGAAGATCAGCACAGAAGAAATGTTTTTTGAGAATTCTCAAAGAAGATCAGCACAGAAGAACACCAGAAGCAGCAGTACGAGAGCACATACAACACCGCATTCACCCCCTTACCTTTCTGAGTGCATGTCATGCGATTAGCAGACAGCATGTATCGTGAGGAGGAGCAGGTACAGAGAGCATATTGCATCGCTTGCAATGCTAAGATGCAGCACGCACACACAACACCTCATCCATCCCGTTACCTTTCAGAGCGCATGTCATGCGATTCGCAAACAGCACACACAACGAGCATATTGCATAGCTTGCAATGACGTGCTATTATAAGATGCAGCACACACACACACACACTGCACTTCATTTCCCCCCCATTACCTTTCAGAGCGCATGTCATGCGATTAGCAGACAGCATGTATCGCGAGGAGGAGGAGCAGAAGCAGGCTGCGCAAGCAGCACACCCAATCCCCCATCATCTCCTCACCTTTCAGGGTGCATGCCATGCGATTGGCAGACAGCACATATCTCGAGGAGCAACAGCTACACAACACATGCAGCACACACAACAAATGCAGCACACACAACACATGCAGCACACACAACACATGCAGCACACACAACACATGCAGCACACACAACACCGCATTCATCCCCTTACCTTTCAGGGTGCACGTCATGCGATTAGCCGATAGCACGTATCTCAAGGAAGGGCACGTGCACCCAAACACAACCTGCACCTGCTGCTGCTGCCCCTGCTGCTTACCCCCCACTCCCGCCCTTTTCCCAGCTCCTGCCCCTCCCACAGTGGTCACAGGAGGGGGAGGAGGGTACGTGACCGTAGCCAGGCACGTCCCAGCACCGTTCCCACACTGGGCGTTGATAACCCCACTGTTAGCACCACTGAGGGATTGCGAGCTCACACCATTCCCAAGAGGGCTGAAGCTCGTGCCACAGAAGCTGAGGCACTGGGAGGCGGGCCGCTGCTGTTGAATCACGCTCTGTATTGTCACAGGAGAAGGGGGAGGAGGAGGGGGAGGGCGTGGTGGTGGTGATTTCGGTGGGGATTGTCTTCGTGGTTGCGGTTTGCGCGTCCTGCCTGCTGCTAGAGCTGCCCGTGCAGCTGCCAAGCTTCGTTCAGACCTTGATGAGTCGTGAGCCGACTCGGATATCGCTAAATCTTCCAAGTGCCGCGGGCCAGCCTCTGACAAGCCTTGAGCCAACTCCAAAGGTGCTACATCTTCCAAGCGCCGCCAGCCAGTCTCCACCTGCTCTTCACTCGCAGCAATCTCCGCCTCTTCTTGCCTCCCAGCTATGTCAGAAATCTCTTCATGTCTCCCCTCAGTCAGACCCTCTCTACGCAGCACCCTCTCTCCTCCCCTGCCTCGTCTGCTGCGTTGCCTGCTGCGTTGCCTGCTGCTGCCTCCCCCTCGCCCCACGGGACCCAGCAGCTCATTCCCCATGCTGTGGTTGATCCACTTCCCCCACTTCCCCCCTGTCCGCCTCATCCCCCCTCCCACTCCCCTTCCCACCATCCTCCCCTCCCGCATCCCCTCTAGTCTCACCCCCTCTAATTGCACCCCCCTCTGTTGCTTCCTCCGCTTCCCCCCATGCCCTAGCAGGCCCATCCTCTCTTGGTGTCTCGACAAGCCCTCTTCCCCCTCATTTGCAACAGAAGCCAGATAGGTGTGGGCAGGAGCAGAAGCCCTTTGATTCCTCTCATGCCCCACCAACTCCATCCTCTCTCTGTGTCTCAACAAACCCTCCTCGTCATCTGCAAGGGAAGCCGGATGGGCGAGGGCGGGAGCAGGCCGGAGAGCCGCATCGGAAGGGGGATCCACTTGCTGTCGTTTCCGCGGTCTCCTGTGCCCCACCACCTCCTCCGCCCTTTCTCTGTGCCCCACCACCTCCTCCGCCCTCTCTCTGTGCCACGACGGCAGCAGTGTGTCGACAAGATGGGACGGCACATGCACGTGCGATGGGTGAGACACCACATGCACATGTGACACATGGGCGTGCGTGGGCAGGTGAACGGAGCGGCGTCTATGGCCCTTAGTCTCCTCCTCGTCCTTCTCTTTGTGCTTCCCCACTGCTGCCGCCAGCGGCGCTTCTTCTTCATCGGATGGCGCGTGCGCGTGGAGATGCCCGGAAAAACGAGGTGGCTGTTGAGTGGACTCAACAAAAGTCACCTCTTCATCAGAGGGCAGCACATGAGATGCATGCAAAGCATGGTCGTGGCCGTGTCCGTGTTTCAAAACGGCAGCCCGCTTTTCACCATCATGGAATGCCGCTTGCACATGCGCATGCGACACATGCGAAGCAGGGGCATGGCCATGGCCATGGGCGTGGGCGTGGGCGTGGCCGTCGGCAGGGGCATGGCCGTCGGCAGGGGCATGGCCGTCGGCAGGGGCATGGCCGTCGGCAGGGGCATGGCCGTCGGCAGGGGCATGGCCATGGCCATGGGCGTGGGCATGAGAGCTGTCTCTGTTCCCTCCACGAAACCCTGTTCCTTCTCCCCTCCCCTCTTCATGCAATGCCGCACGGCCGAGCACAGCACCAGAGCTCTGCTCCTCTGGTACCACCCACAGCTCTACCTGCTGCTCCTTCTCCTTTTGAGGCGCCTCAAAAGCTGCCTGTTGCTTCTGCTGCTCCTTCTCCTCACGCCCTACCATCTCTGCTCTCTCCCTGTGCCCGGAAAAAGCAGCCCTGTTCTCATCATCGTGGGTGGCTGCATGGAAAAGGTCGCCACCAGAGGCCATCTCCCCCTGATACTCCTCAGCTCGTACTGCCTGCTGCTCCCGCTGCTCCTTCTCTCCACGGTCCAGCATCTCCGCCCTCTCCCTGTGCCCTGGAAAGTCTAGCCTTCCTTCGTTGTCTTGTGAGGCGAGATGGTCAGTAGTGGCAGCACCAGAGGTCATCTCCCCCTCATGCGCCTCCCAAGGTGCTGCCTGTTGCTTCTGCTGCTCCTTCTCCTCACGCCCTACCATCTCCGCTCTCTCCCTGTGCCCGAGAAAAGCGGCGCGCAATTGCTCTTCATACGAAGGCAGGGAGGAGCGGACATGAGGAGAGGAAGCTTCAAGGTCAGCAGTGGTGGCCTGAGCATGCTGCTGCTGTTGAGGCGACTCAAGAGTCGCTACTAGATGAGCAGTGGGGGCATCAACGCTAGTTGATTTTTGAGTCGACTCAAAAATCAGATGAGCAGTGGGGGCATCAACGCTAGACCCGGGCTGCCGTTCCCTCTTCTCCTCTTCACGCCCTACAATGGCCCTCTCTTTGTGTCCAAACAAGACCCCTCCCACGCTGTGTTTAAGAGATGACCCAGAGGCGAGGACATGAGGAGAGGAGGGAATAAGGTTAGCAGTGGTGGTGGTGTGAGTTGGGAGCGATTCTCTCCTCTTCTCTTCACGCCCCACCATCTCCGCCCTCTCCTTGTGTCCAAGAAAGCCCGCTCTCTCTTCATCAGCAGCCCTAGCTCTGCTTCTGCTGCTAATGGTGCTACTGCTGGTGGAAATGCTCTGAGCAGTAACGCTCGCGCTGCTGCTACCAGTGTCCCTTACAGAGCTGATCCAAACGTTGCCAGAAGAACCACCATCACCACCACCACCACTACCGCTGCTGCTCATCATATCCGCGCTTCTCGTCGCAACAGCCCCATCACCATCACCACCAGCATCGCAGACGGAAGCGTCAAAGGTGAGGCAGTTGTTGGCGGTGCGGACGGTGAGGGAGAGCGAGGGGCAGATGGGGGCGCCGGAGGCATCGAGGGGGACGGCGGGGCCGAAGAAGAAGTTGGAGGAGAGGTCCAGAGAGAGGAGAGATGTGGCAGAGGGGAGCGATGGGAGGAGACCCGTGAAGTAGTTGCGCGATAGGTTGCTGGTGGGGGGGCGGAAGGGGGAGGGGGGGATGGGATGGGAAGAGATAAGCGGCGGGGAGTGAGTGAGGGAGGGGAGGAGAAGCTGGAGCAGTCGCATGAGAGGCTGCTGCAGGATGGGGTGAGGGGGGTTCATGGTGAGGGGCAGATGGGCGCATCAGAACACAGTCGTTGAAGGAGAGGCGGCTGATGAGGGTGATGAGGCTGTGTTTGAGGTGGTTCAAGAGTGTTGGGAGCGGTACTGAGAAGAAGTGATGTGCGAGTTGAT